TGTAGTGTTACATTATTTCATGTTGTTTTTCCTCTGGTCTTTCTTGACAAGAATCTGATATTATTACAAATTTTGCCTTTATAATAAGTTGGTATGTTTCCCTAACAGGATTAAGTATTGATTTTTCATTTTTTTCTTTATTCTTTCTTCTTTCTTTCTTTCTTTCTTTCTTTCTTTCTTTCTTTCTTAATTTATACTGAGATGGTATGTTTCCCTAACAGGATTACGTATTGATTTTTCATTTTCTTTCTTTTCTTTTCTTTCTTTTCTTTTTTTCGTTTTTTTTGGTTAGTATTTTTCTCATGTTGACTTTGGCTTTGGGCCTCTGTTTATATTTATTTTAACTTTCTAAATGACTTGCTTGTGATTGTACGTCCATGTATTTATATTAATTTCAACTTCCTAAATGACTCTCTTGGGACTGTACATCCATGTGTTTATTTTTCATTTATTTTCTAATTTCTTTTGTCACTTTAGTTTTGATTTCAACTCCCTCTTTTACACCATAGTTTTTTTTTCCTTTTTCTTTTTGTCTTTTTGAGACAGGGTCTCCTTGTAGCCTCAGCTGTTCTGGAAATCTCTATGTAAACCAGGCTAGCTTTGAATGCAGAAATTCACCCACCTCTGCCTCCTAAGTCCTGGGATTAAAGGTGTGCACCACCACACTTGGCCTTACACCATAGATTTTTAATTTTGTATATTTGAATGTTTTTCAATGTTGAAAATTGTATTCATGCATAATATATGTTCCTTATCTATCTCTGTGTGATTGTCTCAGCCCTATTGTCCATATTAAAATGTTGTCTTCCTTTTTTCTTTGCATGGAGAATGCAACTTTTAGAAGACATCAAAGGGTGTATAATGTAGAGAAACATTACAGATGTGAAGAATGTGACAGGTCCTTTACTTCGATGTCAAGTTTGAAATTACATCAGGGAAATCATACTGGAGGAAAACCCCACAAATGTGAAGAATGTGGCAAGTTCTTTAGTCAAACATCAGAACTTAGAGTACATCAGCGAATACATACTGGAGAGAAACCCTACAGATGTGAAGAATGTGGCAAGTTCTTTAGTCAAATGTCACATCTGAGAAGACATCAGCGAATGCATACAGGAGAGAAACCCTACAGATGTGAAGAATGTGGCAACTTCTTTAGTCACATGTCATATCTCAGAGTACATCAGCGAATACATACTGGAGAGAAACCCTACAGATGTGAAGAATGTGGCAAGTCCTTTAGTCAAAGGTCACATCTTAGAGGACATCAGCGAATGCATACAGGAGAGAAACCCTACAGATGTGAAGAATGTGGTAAATTCTTTAGTCGCGTGTCAGATCTTAGAGTACATCAGCGAATACATACTGGAGAGAAACTCTACAGATGTGAGGAATGTTGCATGTCTTTTACTAAATGGTCACATTTTAGAGTACATCAGTGGGTACATACAGGAGAGAAACCCTACAGATGTGAAGACTGTGGAAAGTCCTTTACTGACATGTCAAGTCTTAGAAGACATCAGTGGATTCATACAGGGGAGAAACCCTGCAAATGTGAAGAATGTGGGAAGTCCTTTACTGGCATGTCAAGTCTTAGAAGACATCAGTGGATACATACAGGAGAGAAACCCTACATATGTGAAGAATGTGGCAAGTCCTTTACTTACATGTCATATCTTCGAGTACATCAGCCAATACATACAGGAGAGAAACCCTACAGATGTGAAGAATGTGGCAAGTCCTTTGGTCGAATGTCACATCTTCAAGTACATCAGCAAATACATACAGGAGAGAAACCCTACAGATGTGAAGAATGTGACAAGTCTTTTAATCGAATATCACATCTTAGAAGACATCAGCGAATGCATACAGGAGAGAAACCCTACAGATGTGAAGAATGTGGCAAGTCCTTTAGTTACATGTCATGTCTTAGAGCGCATCAGGGACTACATAATGAAGAGCAACCCTACAAATGTGAAGAATGTGGGTAGTTCTTTAGGCATGTGTCATCTCAGAGTACATCAGTGAATACATATTGAAGAGAAACCCTACAGATGTGAAGAAAGTGGCTTGTCCTTTTATGAAATATCAAGTCTTAGAGTACATCAGGAAATATGTCCTGGAGAGAAACCCTACAGTTGTGAAGAATGTGGCAAGCCCTTTAGTCGAAAGTCAAGTCTTAGAATACATCACCGAATACATACTGTAGAGAAACCCTATGGACGTGAAGAATGTGACAAGTCCTTTAGTCAAGTGCCACATTTTAGAGGCCATCAGTGAATACATACTGGAGAGAAGCTCTACAGATGTGTAGAATGTGACAAGTTCTTTAGGCACATGTCATCTCCGAGTACATCAGTAAATACATATTGGAGAGAAACCCTACAGATGTGAAGAATGTGGCTAGTCCTTTAGTGAAATGTCAATTCTTAGAGGACATCAGCAGATACACACTGGAGAGAAACCCTACAGATGTGAAGAATGTGGCAAGTCTTTTAGACGTATGTCAATTATCAGAGAACATTGTAGAGAAACCCTACAGATATGAGGAATGTGATAACTTCTTTAGAGTGAGCTCAACTTATAAGACACATAAGAGAATTCATATTGGAGAGAATCCCTACAAATATGAGGAATGTACAAAGTCCTTTAAAAATAGGTCTCATCTTAG